ATATATATAAGTTGTTACACGATTCAAATCTAGGACTAGTATATGATTTGATGGATCTTTATCAACACAAGATTATATATAGTGCATGGTCGTCTGAGCTTATCTTAATTAAAATATAAAAGTATTCTTATATTGTAGTAACAGGAATATATTCAACTCCTGCAATATACTTTACATAATTGTTACAATCATTATTTTTTTTCTATTGTAACTCTTGATTAGATCTTAGATCCATTCTAGGTATCTATGCCTTACTTCATTTTTTTTTTCTTTCTAATTACATCAAACGATTCCCTCGGTCCATTAGCTAGATCTTTGTCTCCACATTTATAAAAAAATTGCATCCTATCTCGTGTCCAATATACTCTTCATTGTTTAGTAATCAACTCACAAATTTTTAATTATAGTATGTTATGAAAACATTTTTTCCCCTAGTGATATCTCTAATAAACATACCAAAAAATAAATAATATTAGCTAGTGACGTAAGATTTCTTGTAATATTGTATTCAATTCATTCCTATTTATATTTTCTTAGTTTACCAAACAATAATATATTCTAGAAGAGTGTGGTACACATAAGAAATTGGATTTTATGTTATTTCTTGTATAGTCTTTTAAAAAAAAAATGTTATTTCTTGTATAGTCAGATTGATAAAACTATCTCTTATTCACGAATATGGTTAAACTTTGATCACCGATTTAAGATAGAGTATATTCAGTAATATAAAACTAAGCACCAACCATTTAAAATAGATTTAATATTGAACAACAAAAATATCAAATGATTATAAGTACATATATTATATAATGTGAACATCAATATCGAAAAATCATGAAAGGGCTCGAAGAGAAGAATAGTTTGCAAAGAAGAGTTTGGAGTATGTCTGTTTCTTCATTGGAAACTTCAATCTTTTTCTTCTTGAGAATCTACAAAACCACAAATAAAAATAAGTGCACAATAGAAAGTATATCCTTTGTTTTAAGCTGTAGATTAAGATAATATAAGATTCATTTAAACTGATAAAATTGGTCAAAATATTCAAATTGTTTTATATGCTTATAGAGTCTGATTAGCTCAGAACAAAAGCAACGGTACAAAATAGAAGGGTGAGATGTTACAAAAAGGAGAGTCTCATACTTCGAGATTCTCTCTTTTTCGTTTTGTTTGTATAGATAAAACATTGTTTGATCGAGTAGTATAGTGTGGCTACTGTCTCCTTTTTAGTCTTTAACCCATTGTTAAAATTTTATATCACGGGGCTATAGGGTTTAAAATTTATGAAAATGAATGATAGGATAAATACAAGAAAAAAATTATCTTTTAACTTGTAATTTTTATTTTCTCTTATGGTTACTGATGACTAGATGAATTGGTTATATTATTGGACTAATCTTTAAATTTTATGATTTGAAAAATAAAAAAGTTACTTTACAAATTATTTTAAAAGTGCATGCATTTTTTTATATCTATTACATCTAAGTAAAATTACATATACTATTTTTTTAATTAATATATAAAAAAACCGATAACATTTCAGTCGTCATGCACATTTTTATTCGATAAGAATTATATATATTTCGTAAACTTTTTATCATCTTCCTTTAAAATTTTTTTTTTCGGTATAAGTTTTCTTCTGTATATGGTTTAACAAAAATGAATTGTTATTATATCAAAAATTCTTTCAAAAGAGATGATGTTTATATACTTTTACATTTTTCATAATTTTTTCCATTTTTTGTTTTGGTTTCTTTCCCCTATGCATGGCATCTTATTTGTTCAGTAAATAATATAGAGTTTTATCTCTGTTATTATGTATAATAATTTGAGAAACCTTTGTTTTTGTTTCTTGTTTAAACTAAGGAGTTTCTTCTTAACCTACACATATCTAGGAAACTGAATCTCTTAAAAAGCATAAGTATGTAAAAAGCAAAGTACTGTTTTACATGAAAAATTTAACGATGTCTTTTTTGTATTTATCTCTATAAACTAAGATCAAATTTATCGAATATTTCTGAAATGTAAGAGATATAAAAAATGTTTACTCTCAAGTGATATAATATAATACGAAGTAGAAGAGAAACTAGTCAAGTGGTAGTTGCCCGAGGAGAGACGCAGAGCTTCTCATGTGATATACACATGACTTAGTAAATTAAAGGAAAAAGTGGGATATACACATGACACATTACTTTTAGTTTTTATTACCAAAAATTTATGGTTCTCACATGAATCTCTATAAGTCAGTCTTAATCAATTATTTAAGTTACACTTTGCAAGATCCATAAAAGATTAAAGAGCTTCATATTATTGTGTTATGTATGACTTTAGGCCTGTTAACGGAGTGAATATCCGTTTTTTTAGAAATATCCGTATGATTCGTAATTTTAATATTCATATTCGTATTCGAAAATTTTAATTATTATGTGGATAATCAAAAATATATATAAAAAACTTAAAACACTGAGTGTTCTAACAAAAATACTGTATATCCATATTTAAATATTGGATAATCGTATCTAAATATCAGATATTCGGTTTGAATTAAACGAATATCCGATTTTTTTTAAAAAAGTATATCTGTTATCCATTTTAAAATTTAGCATTATTCTTATCCGTATCTGAAATATTTTCCGTTTTATTATCTATATCCGTTAATTCCGGATACAAAAATGGATACAGATAAGATATTCGCGGATACAAATATTAGTATGTGTGTTTTTAGATATACTACTTGTCGAAATATAAAAAAAAAGGACAAAAGATATAAATGTAGTAAACAGTTGGTAGTGAGAAGAAGCAACGAGAAGAGAAAGTTTCCAGGAATAACAATAAGTTGCACTAAAGAAGAGAGCAGAGAAGAAACCTCAAGAAGAAGAAGAAGAAGAAGAACAAAAGTGTTGACCAATAATAATAGTAGTAGTGATCATAAAATTGAATTTGGTATATACTAAAGTTATAAAAATGGTAAAAGAAGAAATGAAATGATTGTTTAAGAAAGTAAGAGAAGAGAAGAAGGTGGTGGGTGAGAAAGAAAGGATCGTAGTTTTTGTCAGACCAAAAAAGAAAACGAAAGTATGAAGAAGATTAGAGAGAGTCACGGGTTTGTCTTGAAAGCCACTTTTGTTTTTTGTTTTTTTTTTTTTTAATTTCAATTTTATAAAAATGTTTTTTTTCAGAGACACTCAGACACATATTCCCCTCCATCTTCTCATTATTCGAGGTTGCTAACTTCCAAATTCTAATTTACATTTTTCACTTTTTGTTTCTTCTTTTTTATAATATTTACTGCCTCTTCATGTTGATCAAAAACTTAACTTTTAGAAACTCTTTTCATGCATTTTGATGATATGTAACAAAGAAGTTTACATTTTCACAAATAGAATCTCTTAATCGAATGGATTTAGTTTTTTTTGTTAATGTTTCGAACGAATATTTTTGTAATATCTCGGTTTTAAGAAATTTTGTGGAGTATACGAAAAAAATTAAGCGATTATATTAATTTCTTAAATAATTTTTATGTTTTACCATATTTTCTAAAACAAGAATGTTACAAAAAAAAATTTCAAGTCGCAAATACACATATTGATAGAGTGGTTTATGATTTATGAGTTATATAACTAAGTGATACATTGTTTTGGTTTGTTTCACTATCCTTGATTAATTACCTCAATGTGGACACTAAATTTAGAGATATTACAAGAAATAATTGTTTTGCTCCAATAAGATCAAAGATCACTTTTAAGAAGATGAAAAGTGTGCTTATACAAATTAATTCTTCTCAATTAACTCAAACCAAAAAAAGTTCTAGAAGAATAAATTTCAAAAGAGGCTCTAACTCTTTTCTTTCACATTATTCATATATGTAACGCAATTTTATCTTTACTCGGAATATACACAAAATATAAGATTTCATATTTCGTTGTCTTACTTTTATATGATTTGGACATGATATAAGAATCTTTAAAACTAATAAATTTCCACTACTTTGGAACTTTGTTTCTTTTCTTTTCTTTCGATAGTTCTACGAAAAGAAAAGTTTCCCACTAATTAATATGCAAGTGAATAAAGTGATAATCCGAAATTTTTGTTTTTCACTTGTTATTGAAGACTGATCATTACTACGATAGTGTTACGTTAGGGAGTTGCATACGATAGCAGTTGAAGATAATGCAATCGTTCATCCTAACTATAATGCATCAAAACTCAAAGATTAGTGTACAAATCACTCACCACACCAGCCTCTTGGATCCGAATCATCACTAGATACAACATTTTGAAAGTATATAACTATCTCTGTCTATGGAATGAGATATCGCCAAACAGTTTTGTGCCATGATTCCATGAACGAAATGACTCCATGCAAGAATAAGTAATTATTGAACTAACGCAATCTTGCAAATCAGAAAAAGTTATATAGAAGAAACATAAACCAATTACAAAAACATTAAAAAGTAAAAGAAACAGTGAGAACATTGGTGTTACATTCCATATCCGTGTTTGGCGTTATAAAAAAAAGTGAACATAAAACAAATCATTCACTCACGTATAGAAGAATCTCTCATCTCTCACACTCACGTATACATAAGTCAATAAGTCTACTCAATTGCAATATCCATGATATTTCGAATCAAACCTTAATCATTTGATCATGATCATTCATTCACACATTTCTTATATAGTCACACAACATATTTACCAATATAAATCTATACATTTTCTGATTTTCACCTCAAACCAAAACATTATATTTCTGTGGACACATGCAAAAGCAAAAGTAGAACAACAAACAAGTTTTCCAAAATCTCATATATACACTCTAATTAATAGTAGTTATACATGAGGACAGATACACACACGTACGATCTATAAACCTCAAAGAAAGAGATAAAAATAAAATAAAAAGTTTATAGTAACAAAAAAACAAATTAGTACTCACTCACTACTCAGTACTAGACTACCATTTTTAACCCAACCCCACTCGATACAAAACAAACACAAATCTTTCTTCTCTTTCTTCTCTCTCTCTCTCTCTCTCTCTCGAGAACTCTCTAATGGCGATGATGGTTGAGAATAGCTACGGTGGTTACGGTGGTGGTGGTGGAGAAAGGATACAACTTATGGTCGAAGGTCAAGGCAAAGCTGTTCCTGCACCGTTCTTGACAAAGACTTATCAACTTGTTGATGATCCTGCGACTGATCATGTTGTCTCTTGGGGTGATGATGACACTACTTTTGTCGTTTGGCGTCCACCGGAGTTTGCTCGTGATCTTCTTCCTAATTACTTTAAACATAACAACTTCTCTAGCTTCGTTCGTCAGCTCAACACTTATGTATGTTTATACTCTATCTTCTTTTCTCTTTAAAGTTTCGATTTTTATCAAATGGGTTTTGAGATACGTATCGTTTTGTGATTACCCATCTCTTAAAGTTTCGATTTTTATCAAATGGGTTTTGAATACCGCAAGGTTTTGTTATTACCCATCTCTTAAAGTTTCGATTTTTATGTCGAGACATGGAAGAAAGATTTGGTTTTTGAGTCTTTGGGTTTATGAGATTTTGGGAAAAATCAAATGGGTTTATGTTTTACGATCTGGTTTTGATTACCCATCTCTTAAAAATCAAATCTTTACACCAAAATCAGAAGAAAAATGTGATTTTTTTTTTTAAGATTTGAGGGTTTTAGTCTTCTTCTTCAAGAAAGGTTCTTGATTTGTTGATCTTTGATTCTGTCAGGGTTTTAGAAAGATTGTACCAGATCGATGGGAGTTCGCGAACGAGTTTTTCAAGAGAGGAGAAAAGCATTTACTTTGCGAAATCCACCGCCGCAAAACATCTCAAATGATACCACAACAACACTCACCCTTCATGTCTCACCACCACGGCCACCACGCTCCGCCGCAGGTTCCCTTCTCCGGCGGCAGTTTCTTCCCTTTACCACCGCGTGTCACAACTCCAGAAGAAGACCATTACTGGTGCGACGACTCACCACCGTCAAGACCACGAGTTATACCACAACACAACAACATTGACACCACGGCGGCTCAAGTTACAGCATTGAGTGAAGACAACGAGAGATTACGACGGAGCAACACAGTGTTAATGTCCGAACTTGCTCACATGAAGAAACTTTACAACGACATTATCTACTTTGTTCAGAACCATGTCAAGCCTGTTGCTCCAAGCAACTCTTACCTCTCTTCGTTTCTCCAGAAACAACAACCTCCAACACTTGATTATTACAACACCGCCACTACTGTCAATGCCACTACTAATAATAATCTCAATCATGGTTTGAACTCATCTCCACCAACTTCACAAAGCTCAATCACAGTTCTTGAAGACGACACTAATAATCACGATCAGAGGAACATGAGAAAGACTAAGCTTTTTGGAGTTTCGTTGCCTTCTTCTAAGAAGAGATCACATCATTTCTCAGACCAAAGTAGCAAAACTCGACTTGTGTTGGATAAGTCTGATCTTGCTTTGAATCTCATGACTGCTTAAGATTACTCTTTTGGTTTTTTGCTTTTTTTTGAAGTATCAGTGATGATCAAGCATTATTAGCACTTAATGTTGTTATGATGAACATGAATATTAAGACTTTTTTTTTGGTTTCTTTTGATTAATAATCTTGTTTAATGATGTTTTATGTTTTTGTTATTAACTTTATGGGTTTTTGTTTTCTGAGCTTGTTGTCCAGAGAGAAGATGAGAATGTCAGTGATGTCTAATGTAGATAGGCTTTTAGGTTACTTTTATGCATTTTTTTCGATATTTTCATGTGTATTTTTTTTTTTTTGGAACCGATCCAGTTTATTATTATTCTCTTTTATTTAATATACATCCATAGAATATAAAATTCCATTTATTTAATACATCCACGTCATCATTTCCCCAGTTTCTGGTTCCTAAATTTTTTAATTTTGTATCACTTTTTATTTGCCCAGAAAAAATGAAATTATTTAAATTACCTTTAAAATTATTTAAGTAATTTTGTTCAGATAAGACAATAGTAACTTGTTATATTTTTAGTGACGAATCAGTTTTTCTTTGGTTCGTTTGTTTTTTTAATTAACTTTGGGCCTTATTAGGCCTTATTGAACCTGTAGCCCACTACAATGTATTTTATTGTAGGAGAGACATCAATTTATGTTATAAAGACTTCCTTAGGATTGAATCTCTGTTTTTTTTTTTTCTTTAGGATTTTAGGATTGAATACTTTCTTAAGCATAATTTAAACTCCTCATCCCTAAAGTTTAAACTAAAAACTTTGATCTCGTAATCAGGTAAGACAAGATAACATGACTTAAACGGGCATTCTTAGACACACTATCTATCTTTTCAATATGAGACTATGTCAATGTTGTGTTAACTGATTGAAGAAACATAGTGTTGATGCATGTGTTGTTTTATTATTATCGACACTTAGTTGGTATGTATACCAAGAGACGTCTCATGGATACTTACGACGTTTAGGGTATTGTTGGACAGATTCACATGTATGTGTATATAGACAAAATTGTATATCTTTAAGAGATGTTGGTGGTTTATCTTGAGACCATTATAATCGTAGGAGAAGATGTTGTTAGTAACTTGGTATCCATATATGTTAAGATCGATATATCAAGAGGTTGTTCAATCAAATCTACATAGGAAAGGAGTGGTAGACAAGGTATGGTAGTGTAAATGTAAATGCTTTCATATTCTATCGTATGTAAAAAAACCAAACTCCGTTAACAAATATGGCTCATCTAGTTATATTTTACCGTACGTTTTACACTCGTTATTCAACAAAAAGCATAGGTTTTAGTCACACATGCGTATTGACATTTATAAGTGGATAGATCAAAACCAAACTTCTCATAGTTTTTGGTACACATTGATTAAATAATTTTTATATTGTTCTTTTTTGGGTAAATCATCAAACAAAATTGTTTATATTAACCTCCACTACGCATGATCCACGACCAAAAAAAAACAAGGCTTTTAACGTCAGTTATTAGGTGGGTTTAGGGATGTTATCATGGACATGTCTGTGTACGTTTATGTATATCTATTTACAGTAAAATCTCTATAAATTAATACTATATAAACTAGGATTTATCCCGTGGTACACCACGAATCCATAATTTAATATATTTGCTTGATTTATTATTTTTGTAGTTGGTTTATATACTATAGTTTTATACGTGTTTATATTATTTTAATTTTATATAATTTTATGAATTTGTATAATAAGTAGACTCATAAATATATGTGGTCAGTCCGCGATATACTTCACAAAAAAAAAACTTGCAGTACACCGCATGATGATTTGTTGTAAATAAAAATTTATATTTTAACTTAACCCGTAAAACTTTTTTAATATACACAACCCGTAAGAAACATATAATCATATTTATATAAACTCAAAACCGTTCATTCATATTTATTTACAATATTATTATATTTGGAATATTTTGAGTTAAAATATTAATAATATTTTAAATTTTTGTCGAGTTTAAATATTTTTTATATTTTAAATATTCTATAAAACTTTAAAATTTTAATTTGGATACATGAGAAATCAAAGTTCATGTTCATTTGAAGTTGTGAAAATATTAGTACTATTTATAATGGGTTTTTTTACCTTATAGACATTGTACATATATTTTTTCCTTTATCGTTTGAGTTATATACGCCCGTTTTCAAAATTTTAAATTCCAAAATGTGTGAAAAAATTTGTATTTTTATCAGGGAAAAAAGCTTAAAAATACTTCATCTATTTTTTATTTGGATGTTTAATACATTATCTTTTTAGATTGGAAGAATAATACTCAAAATAATAAAAACGTTCAATTTAATACCTAAAATATTAAATATTGTCATTTCCCTACCTACGATCTCTCAACAATTTTTTTTCCAATTTTACCCCTATTCACTTCTATTTATTATTAATGCATAAAATACTATATTTTACTTTACTATTTCATTGTAATATTTCTTTATATCATTAATTAAAAATATATATTTCATACTTCAATATTCATTTTTAGATATAAAATATATAATTCAAAATATGTCTTTCGTTGGATCTCTTAAAATTTTTGGATTAAAATAGAATACAATTTTTGGATATTAAATATATAATTCAAAATATATCTTTCATTGGATCTCTTAAAAAGTTTTAGATAAAAATGAAATATGAAATATACATATCATATTTAGATATGAAATATATAATTCAATATATATATATATATATATATATATATATATATATATATATATATATATATCTTTCATTAGATTTCTTACAAAAATATATTTGGATAAAAATGAAATATATATTTTGGATATGAACATATAATTCAAAATAAACCTTTCATTGAATCACTTAATAACTTTTGCATAAAAAATGAAAAATGAAATATATATTGTGAGTAAATCTATAAATTAATGATACAATAAAATATTACTAGCAAATATTTTTCTTCCAATAAAATTGTAATTAATTTCATGTCATTTATGCACTAATAATAAATATAAATGAAGAAGGATAAAATTGGAATATTTTTTTTTGTTGAGAGATCGTAGGTAGAAAAATGTCAATATTTAATAGTTTAGGTATTAAATTGAACGTTTTTATTATTTTGGGTATTATTCTTCCAACCTAAAAAAATCAAGTATTAAACGTCCAAATAAAAAATAGATGAGGTATTTTAAAGCTTTTCTATTATAAATATATTTTATGTAATAATATAAATTAAAAACAAATAAAATTATATAAATATATTGGAGAGATATTCGATTTATTAGAGAAAGACATTTTAGGAAATCTTTTTTGTTGTAATAAATATTTGTTTCCAGTTTTACAATTTGCTTGTGATTTAATTACAAAATTTACTTTTAAGTTTTGTTATTTATTCAGTTGGCAAGGATTTGATTATGCAAATATTATAAAATAAAAGGTTATAAACCTAAATAGATTTTAGTACCAAATGTACTTCAAAAATGTATATATAGATTAATAATTTCTATAAATTAATAAATTTTTCCGGTCCTAAGTTAATACCAGTGTAATTTAATACCCATTTTGATAAAATAATAAAATAATTATTTTTGAAAATTCTTTGTAAATATATGGTCCCATCAATATTATAAATTAATAATTAGGTAAAATTTTCAAAATATATGTATATATAGAAACATTAGTTATTGTTAGAGTTAATTCTAATATTTTACTATATCAAAAATTGTTAGCATTCTCTTTCAAGACATACTAATAATTATTTTCTTTGAAATTGATTATATAAAGTACTAATTATCATGATTAAATCTTATTTTTAAATATTATTTTGAAAAACTTTCCAAATTAGAAAAATCTCTCTATAAATTAATAATTATTAAGTGTCCATAAGAAAATGGACATAAGAAAATTAGATATTAAGTACCTCTAGATCTATAAATTAATAGATAAATTAGATAAATTAAGTACATAATTATTAAATGGACATAAGAAAATTAGATATTAAGTATAGAGCAAAGTTATAGTTTACCTTCGTATTCTGGAAAACCACGCAACCAATTTCTAGTGCTGAGCAAAGCATGTACATTTTTTGGAAGGAGTCTGCTTCTATATGGAGCTAAAACTCGACAAAGCCATTCAACTCATCACTCTTCTCAACGGCCGCCGCAAATACAACAATGAATTTGGTTTCAAACTTTTCATCCCGATAATAGCCGGTATAGAAATTATAACGATACCAGTACGGCTAAGCAGGAGTCCTCTAATGGTAAGCACATTATACACAAATTCGTCTGCAGCCTTGAGCCTGAGCCTCCATGCGGGAAGTGCAGTGGGTGGCGAGGGAAGCAGCGGCGCATTAATCGACAATGGGTGGCGGGGAAAGCAGATGTGCCGACAAGGCAAGGGATGGCGGGGGAATCTGATCGGAAAGCTGATCCGCAACGGGACCGAGTAGTGCTGCGAGGGGATTGGAAAGATGATCCCCATCGGGACCGAGTGGTGCTGCAAGGGGATCGGAAAGCTGATCCGCATCGGGACCGAGTGGTGCTGAGAGGGGATGCGGCGGTGCGGAAACGGGTGGCGCCGTATTCGGATCAGCCATTTGATAAAAAGAATGTGAGAGAAATGTTCATGTTAGCGGTCAATGGACTTGCTCTTATAAAGGATTGACGATCTTAAAGAAAGCAACGACAGCGATTCACTTGGCAGGTCTCGATCCGAGACGACATTTGGGGACCAATTAAAATACAACATCGCGCATTTCAATCGAGAGAAGATATAATCAACGGTTGTTATCACTTCTCAGGTCGATCCGAGACGACATGTGCGAACCAATTAGAACATATGTTTATTTATATCTTCCAGGTTCAATCAGATCTCGAGAGAAGTATCTAGCTTAATGGCTCAGATTTCTTCGCCAGATCGATATGAGAGCCGACATTTTGCCAACCAATGGGCAGACGCCTACTTAAATTAAATTAGATTTCAATTAAGATTTTTTATGTGCACCATTAACAATTTTCATGTATAATAGTTTTTTTTTCTTTCTAATTTACATAAATGATAGGCATTATTATTTTATACGTGTTATCTAACAGACTAGTATTTGACCCCTCCTAAAAATATTGAAATCATTATAACCTATTCTAACTATGT